ACTACTACTACTACTACTACCGGTCAGCAGACCACTGTGCAGGAGAACGTGCGTCAGCTGCGGCGAGAAGTGGTCGAGATGATTAAGCAACAACAGCCCAACTGTGAGCTCCTACTGAGCAACTTCATCTCCACCTACCACAGCCAATTTAGCCGGCAATGTCGCGTTGCAGACTACGGATTCTCCCGCCTGCTGGATGTCATCGACTCGCTGAACAGCGTCGTGCATATAGTCGGTAGTGGACCCTTGAGGACACTCATGCTCACACATGGTATTCAACTGCGGCGGTTCACCCACGATGTCCTGCGGGTTTTGAAGAGTGAGCCGAAGAAGAGCTGTCCCGTGTCGCATTTTGCCACTCTGTATGAGCAGGTCTTTCGAAAGGTAGGTCCCCCCGGAGGCTTGGTCAACTAGCGTAGATTTGCATGTAAGAAAAACAAGAAGAATATGGTAAGCAGTGTCTTGCCTTACCTTGCACGTTAGCCGTCTAAATAAGACGGTAACAAACTCTCGTAATGTCCATCCAGTCTACTCACACTTTTTTAAAACATGATAAACAGGGATGGGGTATACAAACAACACGGAGAGAGAGAGGGGACGAGGCTGCAGTGTCCAAGTGTCTTCGTAAAGAGAATTCGGAGATAATTCCTGAGGAAACTAAAAAGCTACAATTTCAAAACTGAAGTATCTGCCAGAAAGCACACAGGGAATGTAGTGCAGACCCACTGATGATCCGAAACTCTCACATCGGTGTCATACAGCGGCAACATATCGGCGAAACACGAGTCTGAGCTTGTTGGCCAGTACTTGTGCTTCCAGTATGGTAAATAATTCCGTAGTTTATATTACTGACTACCCGTTGGGAGCTGGTGAATATTGCGCGATTAGCCCGCAGCGACTGAAGGATTTCGGCCCAAACATTTTCATCAAATTTGCGTCTGCGCCCAGCCACTTTACTAGATCCTTGAATATACTGATCTTCTCAAAATTGCAGACTTATTTCTAAGGAAATTAAAAAGTCACAATCAGGAATGAAATCGGTTGCAGAAAAAATCCTTTTATTTATTGCATCTTCGGCACTAGTAAATGAGTCCGCTATCTGAGACAATTAACGAATAGGGACATAAGATATGTCTGTGCAGGATCTCACCGCGTTTCGAATTCAGTGTATGCTCATCTGCAAACAGGGTCACCCCACCTTACAAACAAGGAGCACGCAAATGGAATAGGCAGGCAACAGACCTATATGACGATGTATTGAAGTAATGACAGACGAATAGGTGTCTTGCTGGTAAATGGCCAAAAAGTGACCAAGTAAAACTGTGCAAGAATGCAA